TTTATCAACCCTACAGGTGACAGTGGATATCCCCTCAAGCGGTGGCTGCTCACCCCATTCCACAACCCGAAGAACGTAGAGGAGAGACAATATAATGCTCGCCACAGCCAGGCACGAGCTGTGGTAGAGCGCACCATAGGGCTGCTAAAGGGCAGATGGCGCTGCCTCGATGCCACAGGAGGCAAACTCTGCTACAAGCCTGACAAGGTGTGCTAAATTGTGAGGGCGTGTGCTGTGCTTCACAATTTGGCACTGCTGAACAATGTCCCATTACCCCCTGAGGCTGCTTGTGCCCAAGACGAGCCCGACCCCCTTCCCCATGCATGGGCGAGAAACCCTGGTGAACTGCAACAGCGTCTGGATGTGATGCGTCACTTGTAAAACAGACAAAAAAAAGGTATGGAAACAACTCATTTATTTGCCAAATCTTTTAAAGAAGGGCTTATTTCAGCCAACACATGACGAAGTTGTCCCAGCTCTCTTGCAACCTCGTGTATTGCAGCAATTGTGTCCCTCTGCAGGACTGCATCCGTGAGGACACGGCCGCTGCTGGAGGGCTGCGCAGGAGGTGCCGTGGAGACGCCGGGGCTCGATGCAGGAGGTGCCGTGGAGACGGCGGGGCTCGACGCAGGAGGTGCCGTGGAGACGGCGGGGCTCGACGCAGGAGGTGCCGTGGAGACGGCGGGGCTCGAGGCAGGAGGTGCCGTTGAGACGCCGGGGTTCGAGGCAGGAGGTGCCGTTGAGACGCCGGGGTTCGAGGCAGGAGGTGTCGTGGAGACGCCGGGGTTCGAGGCAGGAGGTTCCTAGGTACACTGTCCCCCTACCCCGCTGGAACCAGCATCTACGACAAATTATTTTGTTAATAAAGTTATGATTTGTTTTTCTAAATACACTTATTGTTGTATTGACATATGGCTACCAGCAGATATCACACAACTTGAATGCATTTGGTTTACTCTCATTTCAAACATGGGTAGGGCATATAAATGTGGTTACCTGGTTCATTCAGTGCAAACTTAACATCGGTGTCCCCCTCTGCCTCCGTCACCACTCCACTCAGCAGGGATTCACCGATTATACCGGCCAGCCTTTCATCTATAGGGGTGAGCTCCGGTGCCCCCTTTCCCCCTCCCGTGGCACACACACTCTGCCTGTGTGAGGCAGGGGCGGCGCTAGGGGGGAGCTAGGGGGTGCTGAAGCACCCCCCAGGATTGCCTAAGCACCCCCTAAGCACCCCCAATAAATATATATATATATTTTTTTTTTCAAATGTTATTATTTTTATTAAATTAAATCAGAAAAATTATTGATTACATCAATGCAAATGTGAAACAAATACATGTTTGACCAAAAACATAAAGCCAATACAGGTGATATGATTAGGCCAATGGCCAGCACCCATTCGATTTTTGACCTACCCATAGGCAAATTACTTTGTGACACTTGAGTGACTTCCTGTTAGCTGGAGCCCCAAATGATTTGCTAACAGAAAAGTGACAAATGGATAGTTTTTTAGTCCTTAAACGTCCACGTGTGGACGCTCAATCAAAACCACCTGAAAGCGAGAGGGATTCTGCATATAACAGACCTCGTGAGTACAAGTAGCTTACTTCTGGGTCTCTGTGTTTCATTCAAGCTCTGCTCTGTGTGTGTGTGGCAAGAGCCATTTTGTGTGCGTGCGCAAGCGAGCGAGAGAGAGAGCTCGCGCACCAGTGGGTATCTACCGGAGATCGTTGTGGTTAGCATCTGGTGCTAGCTAGCCAAGCTAACGGATATAAGGAGCTTTTTCAACAACAAGGTGGAGGGAGAACTCTCTCCTGTCAGACTGAGAGTCTCAGATAACCAGTCAGCTCAGGTGAAGTAAAGGACTCTCAGTGTTTAGATAGTTAACTTTAGTCTAGTTATCTCAATGGGTCTCAAACGGTTTTTAAAAGGGGAGTGATTTGTAAAATATCTATAAAGAAATAGAAAATCTGTTTACAGTTCTGTTTCATATGTATGTTGAGAGATACTGTATATCCATAGATCTCTTCATTTTGGCTCTCAAAGTGCACCAGATTGCTGCTTTTAACTTCAATATTTAAAAAAAAATCTTCCCGGGGGAGCAAGCTAGACCCCACTAGAGGAGGTGAGGTCCACTCCCCACTTGTAAAATTAGCCTTTTACCCCTGCTTACACCTATATGCCGTGAGCTGATTACCGAGCCTTCATTGTAACAGTCGCGGGTACACTGTGTGTGTGTGCGTGTGGGGAGTGTTGCAGTAGAAAATTCAACTGTAGGCTGGTGCATTAATGGGAAACCCTTAATGTTTGAGCACCCTCTATGAAACGTCAAGCTACCCCACAGCACCCCCTAGAGAAAATCTCTGGCGCCGCCACTGGTGTGAGGCCAGGCGTTTTTTGGCGTCCACCTTAATGTCTGACCACTTCTTTTTAATTTCCGCGACAGTGCGACCCTGTGCTGATGCAGAGTTGACAGCATCTGCCACATGCTGCCACTCTGTTGCTTTTTTGGCATTTGTTACGCCAATACTATGGCCACCAAACAAAATGATTTTCCTTGCCTCTACTTCTCCGACAAGGATTTCAACTTCACAGTTGTTGAAGTTTCTTGCCTCTTTTTTCGCTCTTTGCCATGTTCGTTTTGCCTGAAATCGGTTTGATGAATATTCATTATGGGTGTATCAATGACTATTTATATATATGGGTGTGACGGGAAGCCCGCAAAAGCTGCACCGCATTTCGAGTTGATTGGGATTTATAAAAGGAAACCGGCGTAGGAAGTGCCATACGCACTTTCCTTGCCGGTACGCAATGTTTGGTGAATCGGGAAGTGGCGGAAAATGTATGGACCTATTTTTCGGATTTCTACTACGTAAGCAACCTTCCCACATGAATCCTATGCACGGCGTTATAAATGAAAAATCTCTACAAAAGACAAATACACTACAAAAACTCAAACTTATTGACGTAGGTAATATACGTCAAAATGGCTTCAAATGTATTCAGTATTGTATGAACATGTTTTAATTGGGGGGTGGACGTCACATCCTCTAGGGGGGTCAGGGGGTATGCCCCCCCCCGGCAATATATTTGTTTTAACATTTTAAAGTAAAATGCTTCAATCTGGTGCACTTTGAGCACACAATCAGTGTTGTGCTAGTTACTGAAAACCAGTAACTAGTTACCATTACTAGTTACTTCATTTCAAAAGTAACTCAGTTACTTTACTAGTTACTTACACCAAAAAGTAATGCGTTACTGTGAAAAGTAACGTTTTAGTGACTTAAAAAAAGGGCTCCCATGAATGCCCTTATAGCCTTCATTTCAGTACTGTTATCGCATTGGAGAATAATACAATCTGTTGATCAACTTGACATGCATTATATGCAATCTGGATTGCATCGATATTAGCTGGCTTTCCATTTTTGTATATTCTTTCTCCAGGTAGTTGGAAAAAGTTTTCCGTCCCATATGCCGTGTGCCGCCCGGACATGGTATCATGCTAACTAGCTCCCTGAAAGCGGGTGACTCCACTGTAGCAATAGCCTGCATGTGTTCTACAACATACCGTGCAATGGCTTTATCGACTTTTCCCTGGCTAGCAGTCCTTTGGTTAAAATCCAGCCGCTGTTGCTTAGGTGGAGGTGGAGTGGCGTCGGCTGAGTCTCTGTGGTCTTAGCTACTAGCTTCGTCCCAGCATGTTGTTTTTGCAGATGTTTTAAGAGATTTGAATGACTGGTTTGGGCAGTAGATAGGATATTTGACCCGACAAGACACAACTTACATTTAACTAAAACGTTCTTTTCTTTGTGCTCGACAAAAGTGAAATAGTGAGAATATCTCCAGGTGAAGAAACTAGACTTGAGCTCCGCCGCGGCCATGATAGTCTTGTTAGTAAACAACACAAACACGCCCACTGCCCGTCTCCGCATGTGACACAGGAAGTATTTAAGTACATTTACTCAAGTACTGTACTTAAGTACAGTTCTCATCTCTGTTCGCCTGGCTGTTGACTATATAAAAAAACTAACGGAGTAACGCACCATGTATAATTTAAAAAGTAATGTGTTAGAATACTAGTTACTGATAAAAATAACGGCGTTACAGTAACGCGTTACTTTGTAACGTGTTAGTCCCAACACTGGACACAATTACTAGAGACCTGATCTAGGGGTACAACTCTAAAACACCCATATGAAAAAGATCGATTTACATTTTAATAATCAAATAAGTATATGAACATAACCAATAACCTACCATAGCCAATAACAAATAAATGTCACTTATTTTATTTTTGTTGTTCATTCATATCTTATTTTACCTAGTTAACATGTATGTATGCATATTTTTGTATCTCTCCAACTTTAAACAATATTTTTGGTTTACTGTCCTATAGTATAGCTGCGGGCGCCTGATAAGCCAACATCCCCCACTTTCATTACTTACAGCGCCCATCGTACAGGTAGGGTTGCCAACTTCCAGAAATGGAAAAACGGGACACGCGCGCGAAGATTTTCGGGTTTCTGGCGGATTTAGTTCCATTTTTTTTGTTACTTTATTTCGGTGTTAGGGTTATGTTATTTAATTATTTTGGGGGAGCCAGCCCCCTAGGGTTCGAGGGGTCAAACCCCCCAAAACCCTCAAAATGCATAGGAAACTATGCATACCTATAACACAATACAAACACAATGGTCTTACACCTGCATTAGGCTACTACATCACATTGTACATCAGCATGTTCAAATCAGATAGGTGGGCACTAGGGACATCTGGGCACCTCGATGTACAATTGGCTATTTTGTCCAAAATGTTAAAAAATAAATATTTGAAAAATGGTATTAAGTAATGCAAAGTATACATGATGTGAACATGCAAGGTACATCATTATTAGACTTAATGTTATCCTTCAACCAACCATTTTCCCAGCATTTTCCCATCAATCAGCTGACACACACACACACACACACACACACACACACACACACACACACACACACACACACACACACACACACACACACACACACACACACACACACATCCTTGTGCAACTCAATTGTGGGGCCCGAACTGATTTTACCCAATTGTGGGGTCCACCCTTTCCAACTATACTAGACCTCCGTAAAAAATCAGGCAATATAGAAAAAAAATTAGAATCACAAAAATCACTTCAAATAAACATAATTCCAAGCTTTTGTCAATAAGCTAGTTTTTTACCCACTTAGTGGGGCCCAGTTTCTAGCAGTCAGCACTTATGAGGTCCATTATACACACACACACACATATTTCTAGTTTTCATATCTTGGAAGGGATCAGACACACACATATTTCTAGTTTTCATATCTTGGAAGGGATCAGAGTTACTAGAGACATTATTGAGTTGAATGGACTTTCCTTGTTACCAAAGAAACTGCAGAACAGCATCATGAACATTTACATTCTACTCTGATATTTTTTACACCAACAAATTCACATTGCTGGTAAAATAAGTCATTACTTAGGTGATTAGCCTCATCTTAACATAGAATATAACTAGACAGTAGACATGGCAGTAACATTGAAACACCATGGAGACCAAATCAATAATCCCCTAAAGATCCTTTTCGTTCAACATTGTTTTTTCTTAGAGGCAACAATTAGTAATTCTTGAGAAAAATGTATAATTCATATAAACTCTCTACAACATTATTTTAATGCTATAAATATTTATTTGTATATTATTGGGGTGTTTCTATATCGTTAAAACAAAATGTACAACTTGACCAATCCCATGACCCAAAAAACAAAACAAACAGGCCTAACAAATCAGTAGACTTTTACCTCCTTTTGAGTTACATTTAACAATGACATATTCTGGTCATTTTGAGGTTCAAATTTGTATAAAGTTTCTCTCCTGTGAAATGTTTCCATGCTTCAATGAGGGATTTTAGACTTTGAAAAACATTTACATGCACAAAAAGATATTTTCTACACTACAGGAGAGGGAAAACCCTAAAAGCAAAAAAGGAAATCTTTGAAAACATGGATGATTCTTTCTAGCAGCATAATCGGAATGCAATTGATTTCCCTTTAATTTATATTAGTTGACGATTCAAAAATGAAAATTTGGTTTGGTTTAGGTAAAGCCCCTAGTTTTGGTAGTGGTACTTGAAATCCTTCTTTCAACATTGAACGTATTTTTCCTTGGTTCAATTTTATTTCATTTACATTCGGAGAGAAGAAATTGAAATGTTCATGTAATACTTAACGGCTCCCCAGTCCCTATTTGTTAGGGCTTGAGGTTCGGCAGGGATACAATCCTCACATGCATCTTTCCCTGGAACCTGGTTCTTGATTGTCCATTTCATAACCCAAGTGTTGTTCCACAGCAGCACTTTCTGCTGACGTCCAGCTGCGTTTCACAAACGTTTGTTTCCCTAGGTGGACAAATAATAACATGTCATAGGTTTAAGAAGTTTAAGAGCCAGTTATTATCATACAGTTAAGAATCTTATAAAACATTTAAAAAGTACCCATATTGCAGATCTGAAAGAATGTTAATGGTGCGACACCTTCTGATCACTTTATTCCATCACAATCAGACACACCATTTTGTTTGATACTAAGAGTTTGATTATGTGATTTGAAGTGATTGGTCAATTTATCTGTAAGCTCCCATTCATTGTGTAGATACAAACTAGCGTCTGGCATAATTTATAGAATTTATCAAAGTTGCAAAATGGTATTCCAGAAGATGTCCGTGTGGCTCATTTACAGTCCTGCTCCAGTGTAGTTTGTGACATCCAAGGCAAATACTTGAAAATGTCTATGTTGCAGAGTAAATGAATACACTTAATTTATTACAGACAGAATACTTACTTAAATGTACATAATAATACATGTAAACATTGTAAAATGTAAAAGGTCTTATCTTGGTACATAGTGAAAAGGAAAGAATAAACATATTGTGGAGACGGCTCCATATTACTGAATTACCTCGGTAGTAGCACAGTCACTGTTTGATGCTTATGTAGACATAAAGTTCCAAGGAGAGCGTCTCGTCCTCAACTCCCTCCCTGGATTAGTCTGCCCGTTTGTCACCTGGAACTGAGATACAAAAATAATGCACTAAGAAGATAGTAACCATGCATATAATCATTAGTTGCTGAAGTTAGCTAAATGACAAACTATCTGAAACTGGATTTGGATCAAAACAAAGGCATGGCATTATTTAGTCCTGTGGTCTCAATACATTTTACAATATCAAAAAGGGGTTGCAATGGACTGCTTTCAAATTACCCTTTCAAACATGCACAGGCTCAGGAAGTGTAGAATTATACATACAATGACCTACTATTAGATGTGATAAAGGTACTTTAGAAATTATTTTATTCATTTTAGGTCCTAACCAAACGGGAGGGCCCCATAAGGACAAGACTAGAAACAAGTGTGTGTGACAGGTTTCTGTAACTACTCCCATCGAGGCTAATGTAAATGATAACCGTTTTAACCATGCTTATGCTCACAAAGTGTTAACTTACGCCTACAACAACTTGAGTTTAGATTCTAAAAGGTGTTGCACAAATGTTTTTAAATGACTTTAAGTTATAACCAAATGGGAGGGCCCCATAAGGACAAGACTAGAAACCAGTATGTGTGACAGGTTTAAGTAACTACTCCCATTGAGGCTAAGGTAAATGATAACCGTTTTAACCATGCTTATGCTCACAAAGTGTTAACTTACACCTACAACAACTAGAGTTTAGATTCTAAAAGGTGTTGCACAAATGTTTTAAAATTATTTTAAGTTATAACCAAACGGGAGGGCCCCATAAGGACAAGACTAGAAACCAGTGTGTGTGACAGGTTTATGTAACTACTCCCATCGAGGCTAAGGTAAATGATAACCGTTTTAGCCATGCTTATGCTCACAAAGTGTTAACTTACACCTACAACAACTAGAGTTTAGATTCTAAAAGGTGTTGCACAAATGTTTTTAAATGACTTTAAGTTATAACCAAACGGGAGGGCCCCATAAGGACAAGACTAGAAACCAGTATGTGTGACAGGTTTAAGTAACAGATCCCATTATAGTCTAAAAATATGTTCAATTTAGTTTCCTCAGTCAGATCTACACAAATCACTCAATTAGTAACAGGATTAAAGCTGTATCAGAAAAGCGTTTTTAAAAAAAAGGTCCTCTCTTGAAAAGGACAACATTAACATATTGTGGAGACAGCTCCATATTACTGAATTACCTCGGTAGTAGGACAGTCACTTGTTGATGTTTCGGGGAAAGTCAAGTCTAAGGGGAGCCTCTCCTCCTCAACTCCCTCTGGATTAGTCTGCCCGTTTGTCACCTGGAACTGAGATACAACAATAATGCACTAAGAAGATAGTAACCATGTATATAATTATTAGTTGCTGAAGTTAGCTACATGATAAACTATCTAAAACTGGATTTGGATCAAAACAAAGGCATGGCATTATTTAGTCCTGTGGTCTCAATACATTTTACAATATCAAAAAGGGGTTGCAATGGACTGCTTTCAAATTACCCTTTCAAACATGCATAGGCTCAGGAAGAGTAGAATTATACATACAATGACCTACTATTAGATGTTAAAAAAGGTACTTTAGAAATCTTTTAATTCATTTTATGTTATAACCAAACGGGAGGGCCCCATAAGGACAAGACTAGAAACAAGTGTGTGTGTGACAGGTTTCTGTAACTACTCCCATCGAGGCTAAGGTAAATGATAGCCGGTTTAACCATGCTTATGCTCACAAAGTGTTAACTTACGCCTACAACAACAAGAGTTTAGATTCTAAAAGGTGTTGCACAAATGTTTTAAAATTACTTTAAGTTATAACCAGACGGGAGTGCCCCATAAGGACAAGACTAGAAACCAGTGTGTGTGACAGGTTTAAGTAACAAATCCCATTATAGCTAGTCTAAAAATATGTTCAATTTAGTTTCTTCAGTCAGATCTACACAAATCACTCAATTAGTAACAGGATTAAAGCTGTATCAGAAAAGAGTTTTAAAAAAAAGGGTCCTCTCTTGAAATTAACATATTGTGGAGACAGCTCCATATTACTGAAATACCTCGGTCGTAGCACAGTCACTTGTTGATGTTTCGGGGAAAGTCAAGTCTAAGGAGAGCCTCTCCTCCTCAACTCCCTCTGGATTAGTATGCCCGTTTGTCACCTGGAACTGAGATACAACAAGAATGCACTAAGAAGATACAAACTATCTGAAACTGGATTTGGATCAAAACAAAGGCATGGCATTATTTAGTCCTGTGGTCTCAATACATTTTACAATATCAAAAAGGGGTTGCAATGGACTGCTTTCAAATTACCCTTTCAAACATGCATAGGCTCAGGAAGTGTAGACTTATACATACAATGACCTACTATTAGATGTTAAAAAGGTACTTTAGAAATATTTTAATTCATTTTAAGTTATAACCAAACGGGAGGGCCTCATAAGGACAAGACTAGAAACAAGTGTGTGTGACAGGTTTCTGTAACTACTCCCAGCGAGGCTAAGGTAAATGATAACCATTTTAACCATGCTTATGCTCACAAAGTGTTAACTTACGCCTACAACAACTTGAGTTTAGATTCCAAAAGGTGTTGCACAAATGTTTTTAAATGACTTTAAGTTATAACCAAACGGGAGGGCCCCATAAGGACAAGACTAGAAACCAGTGTGTGTGACAGGTTTTTGTAACTACTCCCATCGAGGCTAAGGTAAATGATAACCGTTTTAACCATGCTTATGCTCACAAAGTGTTAACTTAAGCCTACAACAACTTGAGTTTAGATTCCAAAAGTTGTTGCACAAATGTTTTTAAATGACTTTAAGTTATAACCAGACGGGAGGGCCCCATAAGGACAAGACTAGAAACCAGTGTGTGTGACAGGTTTATGTAACTACTCCCATCGAGGCTAAGGTAAATGATAACTGTTTTAACCATGCTTATGCTCACAAAGTGTTAACTTACGCCTACAACAACTAGAGTTTAGATTCTAAAAGGTGTTGCATAAATGTTTTAAAATTACTTTAAGTTATAACCAAACGGGAGGGCCCCATAAGGACAAGACTAGAAACCAGTGTGTGTGACAGGTTTAAGTAACAAATCCCATTATAGCTAGTCTAAAAATATGTTCAATTTAGTTTCCTCAGTCAGATCTACACAAATCACTCAATTAGTAACAGGATTAAAGCTGTATCAGAAAAGAGTTTTTAAAAAAAGGGTCCTCTCTTGAAATTAACATATTGTGGAGACAGCTCCATATTACTGAAATACCTCGGTCGTAGCACAGTCACTTGTTGATGTTTCGGGGAAAGTCAAGTCTAAGGGGAGCCTCTCCTCCTCAACTCCCTCTGGATTAGTATGCCCGTTTGTCACCTGGAACTGAGATACAACAAGAATGCACTAAGAAGATACAAACTATCTGAAACTGGATTTGGATCAAAACAAAGGCATGGCATTATTTAGTCCTGTGGTCTCAATACATTTTTCAATATCAAAAAGGGGTTGCAATGGACTGCTTTCAAATTACCCTTTCAAACATGCATAGGCTCAGGAAGTGTAGACTTATACATACAATGACCTACTATTAGATGTTAAAAAGGTACTTTAGAAATCTTTTAATTCATTTTAAGTTATAACCAAACGGGAGGGCCTCATAAGGACAAGACTAGAAACAAGTGTGTGTGACAGGTTTCTGTAACTACTCCCAGCGAGGCTAAGGTAAATGATAACCGTTGTAACCATGCTTATGCTCACAAAGTGTTAACTTAAGCCTACAACAACTTGAGTTTAGATTCCAAAAGTTGTTGCACAAATGTTTTTAAATGACTTTAAGTTATAACCAAACGGGAGGGCCCCATAAGGACAAGACTAGAAACCAGTGTGTGTGACAGGTTTATGTAACTACTCCCATCGAGGCTAAGGTAAATGATAACCGTTTTAACCATGCTTATGCTCACAAAGTGTTAACTTACGCCTACAACAACTAGAGTTTAGATTCTAAAAGGTGTTGCATAAATGTTTTAAAATTACTTTAAGTTATAACCAAACGGGAGGGCCCCATAAGGACAAGACTAGAAACCAGTGTGTGTGACAGGTTTAAGTAACAAATCCCATTATAGCTAGTCTAAAAATATGTTCAATTTAGTTTCTTCAGTCAGATCTACACAAATCACTCAATTAGTAACAGGATTAAAGCTGTATCAGAAAATAGTTTTTTTTTAAAAAGGTCCTCTCTTGAAAAGGACAACATTAACATATTGTGGAGACAGCTCCATATTACTGAATTACCTCAATATCAAAAAGGGGTTGCAATGGACTGCTTTCAAATTACCCTTTCAAACATGCACAGGCTTAGGAAGTGTAGAAATATACGTAGAATGAACCTATAACACAAGAATGCACTAAGAGAAGATCTCAAAAGGTATAGCTATCCAATAATAAACAAATTAATCACGTACTATAATTATTTGGACGGAAACAATAAAATGTGTTGAATCACGTGTTATTGTTGAGTTATATGTGTAAATGTACCTGTTTGCGCAAAGGCCAGTCAGCATCCCCGTAACTGCAGGTTATTTCTTCTTCTGGGGAGTTGTCTCTGCAAATAGGCAGAGATGTGGCATCCAATCAATGACAATAGTTTTCATCTTGCAGTTTGGTGTTTGCCCAGTAACTTGTCTTGAAGAGATGCATCAAGGGGTCAAGACTTAAATAAATAGAGATTGAATGTTAGTAGTATAATTTGCATACTTGGATTGGATACAGTGTTGAAAGTAACATTTAAAAAGAAAAATTATTATTATTATTATAGACTTCAGAAAACACCGTCCAGAACCCGCCCCCCTTCACCTCAATGGAGAGAGAGTGGAGAGGGTCCCCACCTTTAAGTTCCTCGGGGTTCAAATTTCGGAGAGCCTCAGCTGCACACACCACTGCAGCAGTTAAAAAGGCCCAGCAGCGACTGCACTTCATGAGGGTGCTTCGGAGGAACAGACTGAACAAGAAGCTGCTGGTGTCCTTCTACCGGGCAACCATCGAGAGCGTGCTGTCATTCTCCATCTCTGTGTGGTATGCTGGATGTTCAGCTGCGGACAAGAAAGCCCTGCAGAGAGTGATTAGGATGGCAGAGAAAACCGTCGGCGGCTTTTGCACACTGGGACAGAGTTGCACTCTGAATCTCGTTGTATTTTTTGTATAATGACAATAAAAGGCTTTAACTTTAACTAAAACCAAGTGTACACTAAAGTGCATTTCCAGTCACTAAAACAAAGATGTGCTCTGCTCCCACATAGTTTTCCTTGCAAAAGTATCCAAAAGACTAAGGGCATCAATAGACAATGCTGGAGACAACAGTGTGAAATCTATTTGACTACACATTATTATAAATAAACTACGGTCATGTTGCCGGTTAGAATGTTATGTTTACATATTCACTCACCTGTGTCTGAGACACATTACATTCAAATGTTTATCAACAAAGTTTGATTAAAACATCCAAAGGGTTATGTTTAAATCATCACAACTGATGTCAACAAATAAGAAATAATAACCCAATTGGCCCCAGAGATGCTTATTTAATTATATATGATTTATTCTGAATAATAACTGTTTGACTAAAACAGTTATTGGGATAACTTTGTATTATTATATGGGAACATGCTCAACTTCCATGTGGCCCATTTATATGATGCCCAGAGTCTGTAACAGGCATATGGTGTTTCTTTTGTTTTAAACACTCACATTTGACTTTTGTAAGTGGCTTATTTATTGATGAATGAATATTTAGAAAATGTTACCAAATATTACAAAATTATCTTATCTTAAATAATTGCATAACTTTTTGCTTTTCCCTAGCTTTAAATGTTAATACTGCCAGTAAAAAGTAACTTTTTGGAGTTAAGATTCCCATGGGAAGCAATGTTGGGATTATAAATTAAGATATTGTGATTTAATTTGCACTATTTGCTTGTGTTTATTTAAAACATACAACATTGTAAGCACTTACCTTTAAACGGTGTGTTAAAAATGTGATCCTGGCATCCTGTTGAAGACCAAGCCGTCTCTTCCTCACTGAACTCTGTTTTCTTAATTGTCAGCCATCTCACCTGTTAGACAGAAGAATAGCCTTAATTATTAATTACACCCTGATCCTGTTCAGGATATTTCAATGTTAGCAGGTTCTCAGTCAGTTCAGTCATTCTGATGTTTAATGATGACCATTGTCACATAACTTATTGAAGCTAATGTTATCCCAACTTAATTGAATAAGAAAGTTAATAGCTAGCTTACGTTATCTGGCTAAGAAGGTATAATATTATGTATTATTTACACCACTTTTACAAAGAGAAGTGCCACATGAAAGCCACGTGCACTAAAAGCCTGACTTAATGGTGTGCTGTTCACTCTCTCAGTCTTCTAACCTCATCATGTAGCGCTTGACTGTTTAGCTGAAGCTGTGAATATTTTTCAGCCAAACTCAACTCTTCAGCTGTTTGCTGGCTGTTCTGTGCTTTGCTCTCTGTTGTATCCATATCATCACTGTTGCCAGTATTTTTCATTATTTGCTAAATGAGTTTTAGCAATTTCCTTAGATGATACATTGAAATATCCTCTTCTTCATCATTTATTACATTATCCACGGATTCTGTTATTAGTCTTGTTAAAGCTCGCCTTGTAATGACATTTCCACTTGAGACTTTAGCTTCATCACACACCTCTTTGAGCTGATCCAGTTGCAACCTGCTGTGCACGTCCGGTGCTCCAGCCCTGCTCGCTCCCGTCAGGGGAAAACTCCGTCCGAGTTGGTGTCACACACAGACACGGCGAAACATTAATACCTCAGCAGTGCCTCCAATATTTGTTGCACACGTGGACACAAGAGGGATTTCCAGGCGTGCATACATTTAAAAAACAAGACGATCTTTACTTCAGTTCTTCAATTTACGTAAAAGCAAGACTTTACATCACGTGTCTGCATGCACTCCTCTCATCCCCCGAGCTGCCCCCCCCCCACGTGCCTGTGTAAACTTCACTAATTTAGGCATTGCACATGAATACAGTGCATAAATATCCAAAATCCTATGGAGGAGAAATCACATTGCTTACTTCCGGGTTTTAGGATGCGTCACTGCATCACTGCTCTGTCCTGTTTCTGAACTCACAGCACAGCTTAGTAAGAGTGGGGGAGGGGAGGGCAATCAGGTGCACGTGCACCATGCTCTGCAAATGCACGGGAAAACGAACCACAGGAATATTGCCGTTGTTAACTCCCTGCATCCTGATGCTATCTTTACTTGTACTCAAGCACAAGATCTGAATAATTCTACTTTTACTCAAGTACAAGATCTGAGTACTTCTACTTTTACTCCAGTACAATATCTGAGTACTTTTACTCAAGTACCAGATAGAGTACTTCTATATTTACTACAGATCTACTTTTACTCAAGTACAATATCTGAGTACTTCTACATTGACTCAAGTACACTATCTGAGTACTTCTACTTTTACTAAAGTACCAGACCTGGGTACTTATACTTTTACTCAAGTACAAGATCTGAGTACTTCTACTTTTACTCCAGTACAATATCTGAGTACTTTTACTCAAGTACCAGATAGAGTACTTCTACTTTTACTACAAGATCTGAGTACTTCTACATTTACTCAAGTACAAGATATGAGTACTTCTACTTTTACTACAAGATCTGAGTACATCTACATTTACTCAAGTACATATCTGAGTACTTTTACTCAAGTACCAGATCTGAGTACTTCTATTTTACTCAAGTACAAGATCTGAGTACTTCTACTTTTAATCAAGTGCAAGATCTGAGTACTTCTACTTTTACTTTACTACAAGATCTGAGTACTTCTACTTTTACTTTACTACAAGATCTGAGTACTTATACTTTTACTCAAGTACAAGATCTGAGTACTGCTATATGTACTACAATATCTGAGTACTTCTACTTTTACTCAAGTACAAGATCTGAGTACTTATACTCAAGTCCAATATCTGAGTACTTCTATATTTACTACAAGTAAGAGTGGGGGAGGGGAGGGCAATCAGGTGCACGTGCACACCATGCTCTGCAAATGCACGGGGAAACGAACCACAGGAATATTGCCGTTGTTAACTCCCTGCATCCTGATGCTATCTTTACTTGTACTCAAGTACAAGATCTGAATAATTCTACTTTTACTCAAGTACAAGATCTGAGTACTTCTACTTTTACTCAATTACAAGACCTGAGTACTTCTACTTTTACTAAAGTACCAGACCTGGGTACTTATACTTTTACTCAAGTACAAGATCTGAATAATTCTACTTTTACTCAAGTACAAGATCTGAGTACTTCTACTTTTACTCAATTACAAGACCTGAGTACTTCTACTTTTACTCCAGTACAATATCTGAGTACTTTTACTCAAGTACCAGATAGAGTACTTCTACTTTTACTACAAGATCTGAGTACTTCTACATTTACTCAAGTACAAGATATGAGTACTTCTACTTTTACTACAAGATCTGAGTACATCTACATTTACTCAAGTACATATCTGAGTACTTTTACTCAAGTACCAGATCTGAGTACTTCTATTTTACTCAAGTACAAGATCTGAGTACTTCTACTTTTAATCAAGTGCAAGATCTGAGTACTTCTACTTTTACTTTACTACAAGATCTGAGTACTTCTACTTTTACTTTACTACAAGATCTGAGTACTTATACTTTTACTCAAGTACAAGATCTGAGTACTTCTATATGTACTACAATATCTGAGTACTTATACTTTTACTCAAGTACAAGATCTGAGTACTTATACTCAAGTCCAATATCTGAGTACTTCTATATTTACTACAAGTAAGAGTGGGGGAGGGGAGGGCAATCAGGTGCACGTGCACACCATGCTCTGCAAATGCACGGGGAAACGAACCACAGGAATATTGCCGTTGTTAACTCCCTGCATCCTGATGCTATCTTTACTTGTACTCAAGTACAAGATCTGAATAATTCTACTTTTACTCAAGTACAAGATCTGAGTACTTCTACTTTTACTCAATTACAAGACCTGAGTACTTCTACTTTTACTAAAGTACCAGACCTGGGTACTTATACTTTTACTCAAGTACAAGATCTGAATAATTCTACTTTTACTCAAGTACAAGATCTGAGTACTTCTACTTTTAATCAATTACAAGACCTGAGTACTTCTACTTTTACTAAAGTACCAGACCTGGGTACTTATACTTTTACTCAAGTACACGATCTGAGTACTTCTACTTTTACTCCAGTACAATATCTGAGTACTTTTACTCAAGTAGCAGATCTGAGTACTTCTATTTTACTCAAGTACAAGATCTGAGTTCTTCTACTTTTAATCAAGTACAAGATCTGAGTACTTCTACTTTTACTACAATATCTGAGTACTTCTACATTTACTCAAGTACAATATCTGAGTACTTCTACTTTTACTCCAGTACAATATCTGAGTACTTTTACTTTTACTCAAGTACCAGATAGAGTACTTCTACTTTTACTACAAGATCTGAGTACTTCTACATTTACTCAAGTACATATCTGAGTACTTTTACTCAAGTACCAGATCTGAGTACTTCTATTTTACTCAAGTACAAGATCTGAGTACTTCTACTTTTACTAAAGTACCAGATCTGAGTACTTCTACTTTTACTTTACTACAAGATCTGAGTACTTATACTTTTACTCAAGTACAATATCTGAGTACTTATACTCAAGTCCAATATCTGAGTACTTTTACTTTTACTAAAGTACAAGATGAATACACTGCATACATATCCAAAATAATATGGAGGAGAAATCACGTTGCGAGGGAACCAGCATCATATTTCCGGGTTTTAGGACGCGTCACTGCATCACTGCTCTGTCCTGTTTCTCACAGCACGGCTTAGTAAGAGTGGGGGAGGGGAGGGAAATCAGGTGCACGTGCACACCATGCTCTGCAAATGCACAGGGAAACGAACCACAGGAATATTGCCGTTGTTAACTCCCTGCATCCTGATGCTATCTTTACTTGTACTCAAGTACAAGATCTGAATAATTCTACTTTTACTCAATTACAAGACCTGAGTACTTCTAGTTTTACTAAAGTACCAGACCTGGGTACTTATACTTTTATTCAAGTACAAGATCTGAATAATTGTACTTTTACTCAAGTACAAGATCTGAGTACTTCTACTTTTACTCAATTACAAGACCTGAGTACTTTTACTCAAGTACAAGATCTGAGTACTTCTACGTTTACTACAAGATCTGAGTACTTCTACTTTTACTCAAGTACAATATCTGAGTACTTCTACATTTACTCAAGTACAATATCTGAGTACTTCTACTTTTACTCCAGTACAATATCTGAGTACTTTTACTCAAGTACCAGATAGAGTACTTCTACTTTTAATACAAGATCTGAGTACTTCTACATTTACTCAAGTACAAGATCTGAGTACTTCTACTCAAGTACCAGATCTGAGTATACTTCTATTTTACTCAAGTACAAGATCTGAGTACTTCTACTTTTAATCAAGTACAAGATTTGAGTACTTCTACTTTTACTAAAGTACCAGACCTGAGTACTTCTACTTTTACTTTACTACAAGATCTGAGTACTTATACTTTTACTCAAGTACAAGATCTGAGTACTTATACTCAAGTCCAATATCTGAGTACTTTTACTCAAGTACAAGATCTGAGTACTTATACTTTTACTAAAGTACAAGATGAATACACTGCATACATATCCAAAATCATATGGAGGAGAAATCACGTTGCGAGGGAACCAGCATCTTATTTCCGGGTTTTAGGACGCGTCACTGCATCACTGCTCTGTCCTGTTTCTCACAGCACGGCTTAGTAAGAGTGGGGGAGGGGAGGGCAATCAGGTGCACGTGCACACCATGCTCTGCAAATGCACAGGGAAACGAACCACAGGAATATTGCCGTTGTTAACTCCCTGCATCCTGATGCTATCTTTACTTGTACTCAAGTACAAGATCTGAATAATTCTACTTTTACTCAATTACAAGACCTGAGTACTTCTACTTTTACTAAAGTACCAGACCTGGGTACTTGTACTTTTACTCATGTACAAGATCTGAATAATTCTACTTTTACTCAAGTACAAGATCTGAGTACTTCTACTTTTACTCAATTACAAGACCTGAGTACTTCTACTTTTACTAAAGTACCAGACCTGGGTACTTATACTTTTACTCAAGTACAAGATCTGAGTACTTCTACTTTTACTCCAGTACAATATCTGAGTACTTTTACTCAAGTACCAGATAGAGTACTTCTACTTTTACTTCAAGATCTGAGTACTTCTACATTTACTCAAGTACAATATCTGAGTACTTCTACTCAAGTACCAGATCTGAGTACTTCTATTTTACTCAAGTACAAGATCTGAGTACTTCTACTTTTAATCAAGTACAAGATCTGAGTACTTCTACTTTTACTAAAGTACCAGACCTGAGTACTTCTACTTTTACTTTACTACAAGATCTGAGTACTTATATACTTTTACTCAAGTACAAGATCTGAGTACTTATACTCAAGTCCAATATCTGAGTACTTTTACTCAAGTACAAGATCTGAGTACTTATACTTTTACTAAAGTACAAGATGAATACACTGCATACATATCCAAAATAATATGGAGGAGAAATCACGTTGCGAGGGAACCAGCATCTTATTTCCGGGTTTTAGGACGCGTCACTGCATCACTGCTCTGTCCTGTTTCTCACAGCACGGCTTAGTAAGAGTGGGGGAGGGGAGGGCAATCAGGTGCACGTGCACAGCATGCTCTGCAAATGCACAGGGAAACGAACCACAGGAATATTGCCGTTGTTAACTCCCTGCATCCTGATGCTATCTTTACTTGTACTCAAGTACAAGATCTGAATAATTCTACTTTTACTCAATTACAAGACCTGAGTACTTCTACTTTTACTAAAGTACCAGACCTGGGTACTTGTACTTTTACTCAAGTACAAGATCTGAATAATTCTACTTTTACTCAAGTACAAGATCTGAGTACTTCTACTTTTACTCAATTACAAGACCTGAGTACTTCTACTTTTACTAAAGTACCAGACCTGGGTACTTATACTTTTACTCAAGTACAAGATCTGAGTACTTCTACTTTTACTCCAGTACAATATCTGAGTACTTTTACTCAAGTACCAGATAGAGTACTTCTACTTTTACTTCAAGAT